CTGTTATTACATTTAGCTAATTTTTAATAAATATTAAATTTAAATGTTAAATCCTAAATCTAAATGTTTAAATCTAAATGAAAAAGTTAAACCTTAAATGTTGAAGTTTACTGAGCCCGCGAGGGTACATGGGTTTTTTTATTTCTTTTGCGTTCCCACGCAATAGCATTGCGTTACCTCGCAAAAGTCATTTATCACTGTTGTGCCTGCCGGTTTATTAACAAACTCACATGTTCACCATTAGCGAGTTAGCTACTGCTTTAATTCAGCTTCAGAATGAATATATCACATAGCCACACATGGAAGTATGTCATACACCGATATTTTAACACAGTGCAGCCACGCAACATCAATGTCAATTACACTAACTTGTGGCGACACATCCTGTTTTGGTAACCGGATATTTCAAAATAAAAGTCTGATTTAATTCAGTTCATGTACAAAACAAAGTTTTGCGTGGGAAAGCAAAACAATATTGTGAGGGAATGCAAACGTATGCGAGGTAATGCAAAAAGTTTTGCGAGGTAACGCAAAAAGTTTTGCGAAGTAACACAAAAGTATTGCGACATATCGCAAAGATATTGCGAGGTAACACAAAAGTATTGCAACGTAACGCAAAAGTATTGCGAGGTAACACAAAACAAAAAAACACATGTCATCTCGCGGGAGCCTTTGATGTTGGCTGATGTTATGACATCATCATCATCCTGAGACTGTTGAAGTTCACATTTAGGTATTTTGGAATGAAACACAGCCTTTGGTGTTGGCTCAAATCATAGAATTTCATTAATTTCAGTTTACAAAATAATATATTAGAGGGATAAAGGTAATTTTTTCGAGTGATGACTCTTATAGCCCTTTTTTGCAAAATAAAAACAGGATGTGTCATAGTCTTACGTGCTTTTCCTCATACCTCAACACAATAGACCAAGTGTGGAACAATTAATGTATTATATAACATAAACAGAGCTTACTCAATCAACAAGTCCCTTACTTTATAAAGCAATGCAATAGATTTTGCTAGTTTTATCATTAAATAATTTATATGAGGTTTCCTTGTCAGTTTCTCGTCAATAATAACACCCAAAAACCTCACCTCACTGACTCTACTAATCTTTACACCATCAACTCTGAATGGAATGTGAACAGTTCTTTGTCTCTTTTTAAATATCATATAATTAGTTTTGTCCAAATTTAATGATAATTTATTGAGTTTAAAGGGATCCACAATTAGTTGTAACATTAAACTTTATTTGATAAACATTTATTT